TCATGTCTATGCTAAATAAAAATGTTATCTTCCAAAAGTGAGATATGAGCAATTTTTTTGACAATTTTAAGTATAACTATATGATACAAATAAGAAAAATTAATCTTTGTAATATTTTGTTGACGAGAAGTCTAAAAAGTAAGCACTTTGGAACTTGAAAATCACGAACAATATTAATATTTAGAAAAGTGGCTATCTCTCTCTTCTTCTTAGAAAAGTTTATCAAAAGTTTAATCCTGCTAGGTTTGAGAGTATCCTAAAGTTGCACAGTTTAAATTTTTATCGACTTTACCAAAAACAAATGTCAAAAATCTGTTTTTCAAGCCACCAGAGGGCACCAGTGTCTGAAGCATGGTTGGTAACAGAAAACTTTAGAAGACGCTTAAATTTGAATATTTCCAAGTTCTAAAAATGTCTTAGAAAATACATTGTTAACTCATAAAGAAATATATTCATAATCAATAACATCTAAATAATTTAGGCTATTGTATAAAAATAGAATGCATTGATCTATTTCAGGTTAAAATTAATTTAACACGATCTTAATAATATTTCTGAATTAGGAGTTGAATGGATAACACTTTTAACACTTTTAACAATGAACAAAAGATCATTACTAAAGGCACCAACACGAAGTTGTTTACCACCTTATATTTAGCACCATAATATTTATTAGCGATTCACACTTAAACTAAAAATTGCATGCAAACTGTAATTGCGAAGTTGTGGATGCTGTTGTTATACATGTTCAGCATCATTAACGAGTGAACTGGAACTGTTCAATGTTCCGTTTTTGACTGATATTTTGTAAGTCAAAGTCAGACCATAATATAATTTTAAAAATTGATCTCATGTTTATTTAAGATGTCTTCCCATGCACGTTTAATGACAAGAAAACACACACGAAAACAACATAAAAGCAATGATAATATGAAACATTTATAGACTTTTTCTTTAATCTCCCTAAATATTTAGGGAACTAAAGACTTTCCTGCATATTAAGCATGTTAAGATTTGCCTACTACAATACTGAGAAATCTGGGAAACATTATTATATAGGGGGAGAACACAGGCCAAAAGTAAACTATTTCTTTTCTTTCATGGACATATTCAAAGTATTTGTTTAACTTACACATTTATCTAATGAGCAGGACAAAAATGTAAAATAATCAAACTGGCCTAACGTATGCATATAGCTAGATAAATAGATACATACATACATACTAACGGTATGTATATAGATAGATAAATAGATACATACATACATAGGTACATTTATTTATGTAGATGCTCTAGATTGATTTAACACAAGCATGTGTTGCTAAGAATAATATACATAGTTTCAATTTAAGTCTTCTGAATAAAATTGTATTGGTGATCTTGTCCTAGGATTTGAGCAACTCTGTGCTAAAGCAACTTAAAGCTTTCAAATTGATATTTCCATAAAAGTTTCTAATGAACAAGATAGCTCTGCCAAATAAAGTTGGTAGAGCAGCTTAGGCTACAGACCGATGATGCTGAGACTAATGAACAGAAGCAAAATTGATAATAACAATAGACTGCCAAAATTTACAAGCAAGATTAATGATCATAGCTAGGAACATTAAGACTGTGCTTACATTGCTTGAATCCATTTTTTAAAAGAAATGCATCAATCCAACAGCGACATTTTTTAAATCCCCAGTCTTTTAATGATACAGAAGCAAAAAAGAAAGAAAGAAACAACTCTCAAACAAAACCCAAACTATATTGATTCGTAATTATTTTATATTTCCACCGAATAAAGGTGATATTCTTTAAAAGCGCTGCCTCGTAAAGAATATCAGTTCTTTCAAATACATATGCCGATAATTATTTCTTTGTAATAACATCTTTGATAGTACAGAGCGATAGGACAGAGGGCAGGGCATTTACCTTTAGTGTGGTTGAACTGGGTTTGATCCCCATCATCCCTTATATTTCCCCAAGCACCACTAGGAGTGATTCCTGAGTTCAGAGCCAGAAGTAACACCTGAGCATTGTCAGGTGTGGCCTCTAAACAAATAAACAAAATCTGTTGAGCTGAAGACCTAATGTTATTTAAAGCTGCTATTATACAATGATAAATGTCCATACCCTTTCTGTCTCTGGGAACTATAGTAAGAAACAGTTGTCCTAGTACCACTGTTATATTCTGTGAAAAATATTACAATTGGTAAACTTCTTGCTTTTACCTTGAAAATATAAAATTCCACATGACTGTTTTCTATTATTAACTTCATAAAGTAGAGAAATCATAACAAATATACCTGTTATATTCTTATCTGAATTGTAAATTTTAATTAGATTTATAGTTCCACATGTAGTTTGGAAATTACTCATATAAATGTAAATAATAAATGATTAGACCCTAGCCTAATATGTTTGATGATTAACATGAATTTTTGATAAACTCATAGTTCTATGTTTCTGACATTTTTGTTATAATAAAGTCTGGAAAAGTAGAATGCCTCTAAACTATTGTAATTCTAGACATTTAATTATACAAAAAATAAATTCATGGTAACATTATTATGTCTATTGAATAAGAAGCTGAGATAAATGCAAAAATCTGATATAATTTCTGAAGAGTAGCTCATGAGAAAATTTTCTCAAATCAAAGTTTTATATTAATGATAATTTTAATATTCATGTTATATTAATATAATTTCTCTTGATAAAAATCTATATAAATGGAAAAGATAATATCATTTTTTTAGAAATAGAAAGTAATTCACAGAATGTAACCACAGAATTTGAACTGAGACTAATCACATTTGTTTTACTAGTATTTTCTCAGCTTCTGTACTATTAGAAAAAGCAAAACTGAGGATGGAAATACTTTGTAGGTAAATCAAGACAGCATTTTACTCATGAGCTTTCTCTCCAATTTTTCAGATCTGTCAGATAAAAGTTAGAGTAACCTTGTGTTGTTTAATTATTTTGGTTAGTCTTTTTATTTCTCCAAAACATTTATTTCTAATATACCTCATATATATGCTCACAATAGGAGAGTGGTATGATATTAAAAAATTCAATTTCCATGGTCAATATGTAAAAGAAATTAGGGCAAATTTTTGTCATTGTGTAGACTTAAGCACCAGAAGATGAATTTAGATTTGCCCTGACTGAAAGGATTTCATTAACTCACTATTGTCTGTGAATGAATCCACCCTAAGAAATTGCAAATGTGGAAGAAATTTTACATAGGTAACTTCCTCTTCCACCATTTGCATTTGAGAATTAACCACATTTATTTGTTATATAGTCCTCTGGAGACATTACATACTCTTAATCTCTCTTCTCCTCCCCTATTTCAAAATCTCTCTCTCTTTTCACTCCCCGATAATACACACACACACACACACACACACACACACACACACACACACATTAAATTAATGTGTCTACCCAGATATTAGATTCTTTCTGTGACTTCCTGAATGAGGAAACATTGCATTTATGAAACCTCATGAGTCAACTTTTTCAGTCATTTTGATTTCCGTTCTACATCAAAATTGACAAGGAACAGAAAATTATTTGTCTTCATAGATGTAGAAGTAAAAATTGGTAATCAGTTCTTAGAAGAAACCCACTTGAAGAGTACTACTTTAACAAAATCATAATTGGTGTGAATACAAAATCTCCAATGTGGTGATTAAAAATGCAAGATACTTAGATTGATTCTCATCACTCTTAACCAATGACAACAAAGCAATGAAGATCTAGAGGCACCCAAGGCAAGTCCCATATTTCTTTCTGGCATCTTTCACTTACTGTTGATAAAATGTAAGATATACTAGAAGCTCGGGATATTACCTTCTGAAGCTCTCCATTATTTAGGGGCATATATATAGTCTCACTTAAGCGGATTTTCATACGTCTCTTTTAAATCTTACTTCTCATGGGTCTCATGAGTTGTCTGAGTGTCTTGCTTTTGCATTTCAAGATCACAACTACTTTAATCCACCAAGCTCCAGGTAACTGTTAATTACTCTCTTCTTCCTTTTCTGAATGCTGTAGCTACATCTTTGTAGTAATCAGAAGCCTTGCTTCAAGGTGACTTGCCACCAATTCTACACCACTGTCCTCACTTCCTTAAACCATGTAAAAATTAATTTATTAAAAATAATTTTACAGAAAATCATTGGGTTAGGTTGCATTCTTGTCTTGAATATTTTTGAGAGCTTCTTGAAGGCAGAAACTATACCTCATGATCCTTGCACTATCTGAACATAACTGGTAGAATGTTTTGCACATAGTCAAATAACACATGATTACAGATTCAATTAAAAAATAATAAGTAGAAGGTATTCCATAGAAACTATTCAAATTGCAAATATCCTCTGGTAGTACAAATAAGGGTGAAATCTATGATTACTTAATTAAATTAGTATATCCAGATATTATGAATACATTTCAGCAGATTATAATTTTACAAGTATTACAAGAATGAATCCTGATTACGTCCTGCTACCTCACATCTTTTGTTTGTGCATGTACATATATAAATATATATACACACACATGCATATATACATACACATATATTACATGTCAAAAACATATTTTTCTCCTTGAGAACATACTGGAATTCCTTTGGAAAACTTTTCTGGAATTGCATTCATCAATTATGCCTATGCTACTTATGCTATATTTTAATCTAGACTTAAAGGTAAGAAAATAGAAATAAATGTTTAGATTACCTTAAAGAATCGAACAAACTTACTGGAAAACATTAATTTATACAACACGACGGTCAACCATGGTCTTCCCATTGTTCATCGATTTGCTTGAGCGGGCCCAGTAACACAAATAACAAGAAACAAGATTGTCATAGAATATGTATAATATGTGCAAATATATATATATATTTGTGTGTATATATGCCTATGATTGATATATATGCCCAATATATATATATGTACATATATATATGCCAATGATTCCCAGAAATTTAGTTCTTGGCAGAAAAGATAGGTTTACTTAAATCCATATAGGTAGTTTGAAGTTACTCCAGGAAAACAAAGATTATTGGTACAAGATCCACCGTAAGTTGGAGGGCAGGCTGAACATGGTACCCCTACTTTATATGGTGCTTCTCCAATCCAATTGCCCCTAGAAAAGAAAGTAAAGGAGAGAAGACAGCATTCGTGAAACTGTCACATTAAATTTTTTTTAATTGTACTTACATGCACGATCATGTCCTAACATGACCTTTTGGACATAATCGTAGAAAAGAACTTAAAGTGATCCTTATTTCTTATTTTGAAAGCAACTTACTGGGCTGGAGAGATGGCACAGCGAGTATAGTGTTTGCCTTGCGTGGAGCCAACCCAGGTTTGATTCTCAGCAATCCCATATGGTTCCCTGAGCACCGCCAGGAATAACTCCTGAGTACAGAGCCAGGAGTAACCCCTGTGCATAGCCGGGTGTGACCCAAAAAGCAAAATAATAATAATAATAACTTATTTCATATGTCTTACACGAATTTGTTTTTTTAAGGCCAGGAAGATAGCTGAATGGACTTCTATACCCAGCACTGCATAGTACCTAAGTACAGCCAGAAGTAACTCCTGAAAACCCAGTAGGGAGTACCCCGTGATGACAATGCGGTATGCCCTTAAACCAAAAGTAAATAAAGTGTTTTTGTATCCAAAGCAAGTTACTATATTAATAACTCACTTTTATAATAACTCAACTTGATAATATCCTAAAGACAAATTCCTCTGTGCTTGAATCATTTTTTCTTAACTGCATTTATGAGTTTAATCACAATACTACACCAAATTCACCATTGAAGATAATTCAAAGATACAATGGCAATATTATTTAGTTCTTTAAATTCTAAAGAAGAATATAACAGGTGTATTAATAGGTCATAGTTATCATTAATTGATGCACTGAAAAGTAGCAATATAGGAGAGACAACAATGATTTCATATCAAGTATACAATAATCATAACATAATCATAACAATGATCATAAAGGTAAAGGTAAAGGCCCTCCCGTTGATCGTCGATTTGCTCGAGTGGGCCCAGTAATGTCTCCATTGGAGACTTTGTTGTTACTGTGTCTGGCATATCGAATACTCTCGGTAGCTTGCCAGGCTCTCCGATAGCTGGAGCGATAGCACAGCGGGTAGGGCGTTCGCCTTACAAGCGGCCAACATGGCCAACCCGAGTTCGATTCCTCCACCCCTCTCGGAGAGCCCGGCAAGCTACCGAGAGTATTCGATATGCCAAACACAGTAACAACAAAGTCTCCAATGGAGACGTTACTGGGCCCGCTCGAGCAAATCGACGATCAACGGGAGGGCCTCTCTCCTCTCTCAACAATGATCACAACAAGTAAAAATTATTATATGAAGGAAATGAAATTATCACAGAAAAATTGGTTGTCTAAAATGTAATTCAGGGACTGGAGAAAACCAGACATAGTGTTTGTTTGCTGACCTAAGTTCTATCCTCAGTAACTCAAATGACCCCCTGAGCCCTAGTAGTGATCCCTGAGCCTAGACTGGAACCTTGAGCACTGCCTGGTGGGGCTCAAGAAGCAAAAGATAAAATAAAATAAAATGTAATTTCAGGGTTGAAAATAAAACCATAGTATGTTAAAGACTAAGTATAAAACAGGGTCCTCATGTTCTTTAACGCCTAAATAAGACCAAACAGAGACTTAAAAGTCTACCTTAGCACATGAAAATATCTGCTAAATTCAGTCAAAACTGAAATATCTCTTAATGAAAATATTTCTGTAAGATTAAAATAAGCTGATACTTATTTTTATTACAAACTGAAATGAGATTTAAGACGGTCCACTTTATTCAGCTCTCTGGATAAACATCCTAAATTATAACATGAATGATGTCACAAACTTATTCAGAAACATAAAAAGATGCACAAATACTCTTGAATATAGATAACACATTTATTCTAATCTCTCCCATTTTGTACTCATAAACTCATATTTTTTCTGTGACTTTATCCAAAGCTATAAAATTAAATGGATCTAGTCTATATTATTTAATTTTATATATTTTTTCTATGTAACTTCAAAAAATATTTGTAGCATACATTTGCTGCAAGCTCGATAATATAATTTTACTACAGGGAAAAGTGTTAAATACTAGACTTTTACATAAATCAATGATTTCATTGATTAGAATTATGTTTGTTAGTAAATCTTAGTCAATTGATACATGATATTAATCACTTTCATTTTTTGTAGTTTACATCAACTTAAATCCTCCTCCATTTTTTTCTCTCTTCCTTACACAGTTTCCTCCTGAAAAACTTAGTTTTGAGATAGCTTCATTTTAGTGCTAGAGGGATCATCTTCAGCTACCAGTCAGTGTGAAAACCTCCTGCATTGCCTAGATTTCAGTATAATGGCTTTAACATCTAAGAAATATAGCACATTAATTTAACAATTCAGTTTTATCATTCTATAAAACAGCCATCTCATTCATAATATTATAAAATTCTAACCATTTCCCTAAAACAGAATAGTTATATGGTTGAATAAAAATCTCTCTAACCTACTGGGGATGGCTTAACCTATTTACATCAGAAACAAAAAAAAAATGAATTGATGGAAAAATATAAGTCACCAAACTAAAATCATCCACTAAATACTCTTTTAATGCTTTCAATACTATATATACACTCTACTTTCCAAATATTACAGTTCAAATTATAATGAGGACAAGACCATTGGAAAAAATGCTGTTTATCTATATTTGTAAAAGCACTGCCACTGGCACATGACCATATAAATGAGTAATGCAGTTATTTGTGAAACATTTTTTCATTCCCTCTGCATGTTGGCAAAACTGGAGAAACTCTTTGGGACTTAAATTGGAAGACACCAAAAATGTCATAAATCCTTTTTACATTTTGGTATTTATTCAACGTAGAATTGGATTCATGTATAAATACTGGAACAGTTTATAATCTGAAGTAGTTATTGTTACAATATTGTCATCAGGAAAACATTTTATCAAATGTTTAAAAATGCCCATTTCCTGTATTTGAGTGATGTAAAATTAGGGAATTGGGACTTTGCTCTACTCATTTATTTATCTGTTAAAAATATCTATCAGACATAATGCCTTTAATTATTTGATGTCCTTAAAGTGTTCAGGAAGTAGAAATCAACCTGGTACTTACTTTGGAGAATAGTTGCATACCAAGTAAACTGCTTGCCGCCATATAGTTCCCCAGACATTCATATTTTGACAAGTCTGAATTGCACATCCTATTCGACTGGAAGTGGCCCAAACCATCTGTGAAAATAAACCAACATACCATTACTGAAGTCAGAGTTTTTAAAAAGCCATGTTTAGGGCTAGAGTGATAGTACAGCAGGCAGGGTGCTTGCCTTGCATGTAGACCTCCCGATTTCTATCCCAGGCACCTCAGACGGTTCCCAGAGCCCAGCCAGGAGCTCTCCTTGAGCACCAGTCAGGAGTTTGCCTTGACCACTGCCAAGGGTGTGGCCAAAAATTATTAATATAAGTTAACGAGACAATCATAATAACCTGTGTGTAATGTGTACACATGGGTCCAAAGCATCTCATAGGACATCTAGGGTTGCAATCCCGGGGATATGGAAAAGCATAGTCTTTCACTTCATCATACCATGGCTTGACCAATTGGAGAATAGAGCGATATCTAGATATCAAGACAAATAATGAGAACTCAGAGTGTAGCAGTGGCAATACATAGTGAACCCACATTAATCTTTAAATTAGTTGTTCTTTTTTTGGGAATTATCCGTGATGACCCAGTTATATTTCCATTCTTCACTATTACCATAGTTATCTAGTAGAATTTCATGTCTCTAAGTAACGCTAAGCATAAAAATGACCTGAACTGGAACAAGTAAACTGGTTTTAAAATATGAACCTAGGAATTTTAAAAGAGAACTAAAAATACTTTAGAAATTATCATCTTGATCTTGTTTAATTTATGTCAAATGTTTCTTCAATGATGATTTTATGCACAATCAAGAATTAGACATAGGGGCTGGAGTGATAGCACAGTGGGTAGGATGTTTGCCTTGCATGTGGTCGACACAGGTTCGATTCCCAGCATCCCATATGATCCCCTGAGTACCATCAGGAGTAATTCCTGAGTGCAAAGCTAGGAGTAACCCCTGAACACTGCTGGATGTGACCCCCCCCCCCAAAAAAAAAAGAAAAAAGGGATTATACATATAATACTAGTCATGATAATAGGTTTATTTTTCTCTCTCTCTTTCTGACTCACACTTTCCTTTTGGGCCTTAGGGTTTGCAATATAGATACTGAAAGGTTAATATTCCTTTACCTACTTCCAGCACTCAGTTCCTGTCTAAAATGATCACATTAAGAATAATAACACAGAGAAAGAAGAAAACCATATGACTTCAGTCATCTGTGTAATATTGAGAAAAAAATTAAAAAATTTTCATTCCATGCTAAGGGTTTGTTATTGTTTGATCCAATTTATTCCCAAACTTGAGTCACTTTAATTTTAATAATAGTATGTCTTATTTTTCTCTCCACATAGAAAACAATTGATCTTTGATCCATTTGGATCAAAAGGCCATGGGGTATATACATATGACCTCTTGATCCAAATGGCCATATTTCACTGTAATGAAATATTGTGCAGCTCAAGAAATAACAAAATTATACTATTTACAGCAACATGGAAAGAACTAGAGGATATCAGGCTGAGTGAAGTCAGTCAGAGGAAAGTGACAGAAACACAATGATCTCTCTCATATGTGAGACTTAAAGATATATAGTAAGGTAGTAATGGAGGTTCAAAGGCAACACAATGGGAAACCTGATCCACACAATTGAGACGCCATTGAGTAGGAGAGGTGTTGGGGTCTTTGGGGAAGGGACACAGTTACACTGGTTAAGAGTGTGGTATTGGAATTGTGTGCATGGGAAACCAATAATATTAATAGTACTGTAAACCACAGAATCTCAATTAATAAAACAATTAAATTAAAGAAATAAAATTTAAAAATAGAGTGGGTTTCATACTCTATACCACTGATGTACCAAGAGTAGCAAACCTCATTTGGAATGTAAAGTAGAAGGCAACCAGGCTCATCTTGATAAAAAATATATCTATACATATATGTATGTTTATATATGTTAGCAAACAAGGCTCAACTTGTAACAACACGTTAGTAATCTCTTATACAAGAGCTTAATGGCTCCAGGGTCAGATACAAAAATCTTTACACACTTTCCTCTAAGGAAAAAAATTTTTAATCATTTTTAGCGAATTATTCATAACAAGCAATACAAAATAAATTAGTTACAACTGGCTTTTGGGGCAGGATTTGGTGGTGGTATGAAAATTCAAAATAACAGTGGCGGGGAGGTGTAATGGTGGCAGGATTGACATTGGAAATAGAATGGTAATACATAGAAATTGGTAATAAATTATTGTGAACAACTTTATAAGAATAAAATAAAATTTAAAAAAATAGAATGGGTCTTTGTAGAGTTGGATAATGATATTCCACAGTTGGTAGAAAATTATTTTGTAAATGCTAACAAATTTTCCATAGTTGATTATAATTCATATATATGTATAAATGTGTACATATACACAGAAATATCAATATAAATATACTTCCTATAGCATGTGAATAGATATATATGTTTGTGTTTGTGTAAAGAATGTGTTTATACAGGTGTGTGCAACTGTGGGAGCTTCATGCATGCACAGGCACAATATTTAACATAGAAGGGACTTTCTTGAGGTGGTAATCATGAGAGATAGAATTTAGCACATATGCACCTGATCTTTTCAAAGCTGAGAAGCGAGTGAGGAATACACACCAAGAAAGGGTGCTCCAAGGGTGAAGGGTCAGAAATAGTATGTTTAGGTCTTTCTAACCATTAAATAATCCTTAAAGACATCAACAATAGTCAGAGGCCAAGAATCCTTGACTGATGTATAGTGTTCCATTCAATATTTGCTGTTACTCCTTGAAATTCTTCTCATTCTCCTCTTCAAGTTTAGATTGACAAAGTTTTACAGATACATGAGATCAGAGAAACTTTTTCCTACCTTCCAGTTCTTACAGACAGATTTTGTCCAAAAAATCGCAGTAAATAAGAAGGTCCATGTTCCCAAATACAAGTAGCTGCCCAAGCCTCTGCAGATTTTGCAAGATTTGCATCCCAAATCTGAAAACAGAAAGTAAATTGTCAGTGTTGTCAGGTTTTCAAGTAAGAGACAAGAAGAAAATGATGGTCCATTTCCTAATATCATCTCAATTCTACCTCCTGAGACTATTGTAACTAAAAAATAAAATTCAGACCATCGTCATGCAAAGTCATAATGCAATACAGATGCACATGTAAAGCTTTGTCTTGACATTTCCATCTAGACCCAGAGTCCAGACATCAATTTTAATGAGGGGTATGCTAACAAAAATACCAAATCTGAGTGTAACTTGAGGATATTTCATTCTGACTACTGAAATTTTAAAATTTTAAATCCAATAAAGTTCACTGGTTTCCCAGCAAAAATCATCTACATAGTAACAAGACCAACATGACCAGGCTGATTAAAAATGATATGACAAAATTTACAATGTAATATTATACTTCAACTTTTTAAAGGTCAAGATATAGTCCAGTATAATGAATCCTATGTAGCCTTTATACATCATATCATTTTGGTTTTTATCACATTATTATAATAATTGATATGAACTGGAAACAATGATAAACATGATGCAAAATGCTGGTTCCATTTTGAAGTTGGTGTGTTCATTCCTGTTAGGTAGAACTGTTTGTAAAACAGCTGAGAGGAAACTGAGCTCTCCATCTACAGATATATGAATTCCTATGATCATTGCAGTACAGAACAATATCAAGAGCTATAAACCACAGATGAATGTCAATTAAGAAATAAAGAAGATGTGATAGATCTACTTAGTAGAAAACTGCTCAAATATAAAATAAATAGATGAAATCCCAGGATTTGTGACAATATGGAAAGACCTAGAGAGTATTAGTTTTAGTGAAATAAGCCAGGTAAAGACAAACACCTATAATTAATGAAGATGAACTAAATAGAGTTAATTTCATAATTGTAATAATAGCAAGAGAAAGAGAGAGTGGAGAGTAAATCAGGACAAAAGAAGACCATAGTACAGAGAAAACAAAGCATGTGTACAGAAAAAATTAAACCAAAAAACCTGTTGGATTCTGATGAAAAAACTAATGTTACCTGAGGGAAAATGGATTAATGTGAATGGTAAAATGGATTCAATGATGGTGATGGGCACGGTGTGGTAACATATACTTAACGAGGTCTTAATCTGCCATTTGGAAACATGCATTTTTGTTAAACATCCTTATCTCAATAAAATACTTTTTAAATATTAGTTTTAAAGAGATTACTGGCTTGGTCCAGATAGATACTACATGGTTTAATCCACTTGCCTTGCATGTGGTTGATGTTAGTTCAATCCTAAGCACTACAAATGTCCCTTTTTAGCACTCCCAGGAATGATCATTGAACACAGAGCCATGACTAAAGGAAGCCCTGTGCAACATAAGGAAAAGAAGGACGAAGAAAAGGAGAAAGAGGAGGAGAAGAAGGAGGAGGGAAGAAAGAGGAGAAAGAGGAGGAAGAGGAGAGAATAAAATTAATAATTCATAAAAAGATTAGAAGATAAGCACATGACTGGGATGCGTTTTATGGTCTATCAAAGCATTGTATTTTACTATCTTATAGAGCTACATCATCATTGTTTTTATTTACTCCACAAACTCAAGAAAGTTCCCTTTCTCTCCAAGCTTTGGGTTTCTAAATGAGAACGTGTCCCTATCTCACAAATCTCTTGCAAAGATTAGGTGAGAATGAGTTGAATATTTAGTGCAGTTCAAGCAAGGCAAAGATGTACTTAGTGCAAGTATTCTCTAATTACAAGAGATTTGTGCATTGTTATGGCAGAGGAATCAATAAACCAGGAGAGCTGTCTACAGTGGGAAACAGTGTGAGGTACACGTTGGATCAAGTTATCTGGCATTCTGAAGTATTAGAGAAATCAAAATTTAATCTAAACTAGGCAAGCAATCAGATAAAGTGAAAACAGATAAACCCTGAAGCAACTAAGTAATCAGAAACAGAATTGTGTAGAGATAATAAGGAACTTGCTCATGAGGGGAAATAGCTTCCAATGAAAGATAACAAATAGAAAACATTTTAGGAGGTTTCAAACTTATTACTCCCTCTCTTAAATTCTGCTTTAATATATGTTTTATCTTTAGATGTTAAGACCACTTGTTGATGGCATCTACCATTTGTTCTACTTTCCAGGGAAATACTATACCCATTAGTCATCCTTTAATCCTGAAGTGAAGAGCCAGGAAGACATTTTTACTCATGGTTAATATTTTTTTTTATAAAATCAGTGTTACAATACATCCAAAATGCATATCATGATTGTTAATCTATCCTGTGATGCAGAAGCAAACCCCGTATCTTGCATGCCACTTGGTCAGAAGAGTTCAAATATCTTCTGCCTGTCTAGTGCCTGCTGCAAAAATTTTCTCCTCCTTTTCCTCCTTCTTCTCCTCCTCCTCCTCATCTTCCTCCTTTTCCTTCTCCTCCTCATCTTTGATCTTAATGGAAGGAAGAAACAGCTTTGGTCAAATACTCATATTTAACAAAATTACGGGATGCAAACTTGATGCACGTTTTTAGTAGAAAAAACTGTGTCCTTAAGTAACATTTCTACACAGATCTAGTTTGGGCTATGTGGCATGAAATTTTAAGAGATATCATAAAAAGTTTAGTTTGTAAACACTACTTATTGAGCACTCTTCCACATAGAGAATTTGGAGGAAAAAAGCTGATACCTGTTTGTAGGTAACAATGGTAACATAGACTAAAAATATTCCACTTCCATCCTTGCAAATTTCAGATGATTCAGGCTTTATGTACTTTATTCCAAACATTTCTCTTGATCATTTTTTGCCTTTGCTATCTTGTGCCCTACCATTCTTCAAAAATTCTCATAAATAAACATCTCAAGTTTATAAGATTTCAACCATTGACTGAACAATAAATGGTTTTCAGATATAATAAATTCATGATGCCAGACCAGCCAAATGAGTCAACATATGTTTTTCTAAAGGCCTTTGTTTAGTTCTCGTAAAACCTATTGTCAGTGTGTCAAAACACGAACTAGACCTGGCGTTATTTAGGCCCTTGTAACAGATTTGGTTTGGATTTGTGTTGACTTAAGTCTTAACACTTTCTCAAAACAAACAAACAAATGCAAGACATTTTCTTGCAAAAATTTTGACTTGATTCCCAGACACAAAACCATCTATCTGTCTCTGTGATACTACAATACTCCTTGTTATGTATGCAAAGCCATCCTCTTTTATTATGAAAACATATGCCTATGTAAAATTCTTTGTAGTAGGATGCTGTGCCCTACTTCATGATAGCGACATTTTTTTAGGCCACTATGGATGTGTAGCCTGAGTGATAGAACTGTAGCCACTTAACAACGAACTCACTAAAATCTCCCCAGAGAAACCTGATTATCCTCAGCAGAATGATAGCATCCTCCTAGTCTGTTTCTTGAAATAAGCACTCATTCTTCTTCACTAAATAAGTCACTTACTCCTATTGATTTGATTTCTGAATTTATTTGGTCATATCCCCCATAATTGTAATTACTGGTTTTGGCATATCAAATACACAACGGATAGCTTACGAGGCTCTGCCGTGCAGGCGGAATACTCTCAGTAGCTTGCCAGGCTTTCTGAGAGGGATAGAGGCTTTTGGGATGACCTCTAATCGCCCTTGTAGGTGTTACCATATTTGAACCCTATCAAATATGGTATGGCAATTCTGGAAGATGGGTATTTAGTGCCTTATAATGTGTCCGGAAAGCATCCTGGAATGTGGCGGCGGCTGGGTAGTGGAGGTAGTGGAAGTATTTAAAGAAGGCCTTTGATTCTGTTGAGACGGAAGCGATCATTGAAGCCCTAGCCAATCACGGCATTCAAACTCAATACATCAGGATCCTCTGGGAGCTGTATTACAGATTCACTACCAGGATCTCACCATTCTACAAAGAAGTAATCATTGATGTCAAGAGAGGGGTTTGGCAGGGTGATACCATTTCACCAAAACTCTTCAGTGCCACCCTCGAGAACATCATGCGATGACTGAAATGGGAAGGAATGGGAGTGAAGATAGATGGTCGGCAACTACACCATCTCTCTTTTGCTGATGACATTGTTCTAATAACACCAAACATTAGCCAAGCGGCACAATGCTGGTCGACTTTGACCGTGAATGTGGAAAGGTTGGACTACAGCTGAATCTTACGAAGACAATGTTTATGAGAAACAGCCTCGTTCCTGACGCCCCATTCACTCTCAACGGAACGACCATCTCCGAATGAAACAGCTATGTGTACCTAGGTCGAGAAGTCAACATGACAAATGACCTGGCACCCGAGTTGCGCAGGAGGAAGAGAGCAGCTTGGAACGCCTTCAAGAGCGTCAAAGAAATAGTTAAGAGGACAAAGAACCTCTGGCTCCTGGCACATCTCTTTGATTCCACTGTTGTTCCTGCATTAACATATGTCTCAGAGACCTGGGCCCTACACAAACAGGATGAGAATGCTATTCGGGTCTCCCAAAGAGGAATTGAAAGAGCTATGCTTGGAGTATCACGTTTCTCTCAAAAGAGAGAAAGAATCAGGAGTTCCGACCTCCGTCGACAATCAAGAATCAGGGACGCTGTCTCGTTTGCCAAGGTGTCAAAAATCAGATGGGCTGGTCATGTAATGAGATTTAGAGACGATCGCTGGACTAGAGCTGTTACGGACTGGATTCCACAGGATGTCAAAAGACTGCATGGTTGCCCACCTACCAGATGGTCAGACTTCTTCATCAAGATCAAGAACCATAGGTTTGAGGCTCATGGTGTTCCTAGAGAGAACAGGCGCCATTGGGCTACACTGGCACGCGACAGGGACAAATGGAGACGTTACTAGCACCTGCTCGAGCAAATCAACGATTAATGGGAAGTAAAGTGAGTCAAGTGATCCCCCATAACTTTATGCTTAATTGAAACTTTAATTATCCCCATTCACACCATCATTACAGCCTCCTGTGTACCTCCACTGCTGTACCTCACCTATTCC